ATATATATATATATATATATAGATATATATATATATATACAAATATATATATGTATATATATATACAAATATATTAACATATATTTTTTTTTATATATTAACAAAAAAACGTTTTTGTATCCATATATATATATATGCATATGTATAAATATAAATGTATGAACATCTTATTGTATTAAGATATCAATATGCATATACTTCTTCACACACACACGTGTACACACACATATATATTTATATATATATTTATATGTATATATTTATAACTATACACATGTATGTATATGTATACGTCTATCAGTACACACACAAACACATATATATATATATATATATATATATATATCTCCCTCTCTCTCAGAGCAATACTGTATCATACCAGTATTTTTCCACCTGTATAGTAATCTCATCGGCGCTTGTGTTACTTAGTTGTAGATTTTCAAATCACTCGAGTTTTATGATATGGTACACGGCTTTGATATTCTTCTATCAATTTTTTGCGTATAAACGTCGCTTTTAACCAGCTTTTTTATCTGGTTTACAGTCTTCCTATTTTCGAGATATTATAGCGCAGTTATATCAGCACATAAGCCAGAACACGCCCGGCTGGAATCAAGAGGCAGAAAAAATGCTCTCCTACTTGCGTAGGCGTAGCAGGCTCAACTCAGTCGACGACTACGACGGCGAAACACTCGTGCAGCTGATGACACTTGTCCGAGGCTTGCTGACCTCCCACGCACTACCTCTGGTAGAGCGTTCGCCTGCTCTCCTGTCGTTGTACCGCAAAGTACAGATACGCATTGCGGTACTCATGAAAATGGGTATGCTGAGTAGAGACCGATTCTATAGACTAAGAGCGGCGGGACATGTGGTGAGGTACGATAAGGGTGTGCCCGCTATATCCAAGGCCTTGAGGAAGATGCTGGAAACGACAGAGCGATGCCCAGGAAACAAGAAGGTATGTTGAGCGAGATTGTAAGGTTACGGTTTTCCGATTCGGTGAGTGTGAGTGGGAGATGTACTGGATGTCGGTTCAGCCATCGGACTATTTGAGCACACGAATTCTTAGAAAAGTGTGAGCAATACGCTTGAGTCTGTTTGATATTGGTGTGCTTTTGATATGCCTATTCATCGGTGCTCCGAACAATTGCAGTGATGTTTGCTTCCTGTACGAGTAAACGTGGCGGTTCCGGAATCATTCTCTGTCTGGGTATAATAATCAGTTCATTTGATCTGTAAACGAAACATCATTACTGGATCGTCCTCTCCGGTTAGAGCACATTCAGTCACGGAATTGTGTTTCCCGTGCACTCATTAGAGATGGCGTCGTCCGTGTCGCTAGTTGTCGCAATTCTCACTCGCACTCCGCCACACTTCTACGGTTATTAGGAGCAACGAGCGTTTGAGAAATATTCGGTTCTATACTACAAATGGTGGCATTCGGCATTCCACACGCCGAGATTCGAGGAGGACATAGCAGAGCACGACAGGAGAGATGCACCGTTGGATATTCTAGACGAGCTCCTGTGTGATATGTTGCTTCATGTGGAGGCTCCGGCAAGCAGCAAGTTCAAGTCCAAGAAAAGCCAGGTAAGTTCAAAGACATTCTTATTACATCAAGGTAAACGTGCGTGTGCCCTCTCCGTTCCAAGTTGTGGGCATCTTCGACAATTCTGGGTACATCAAAGTGGCCGTGCATTTGGCCATTCTGTTTTAAATAAGGTTTATCTTCGACGTGTTCGGTCTTTACGGAGTCGATCCAGCAGAAAGGCGAGTCAGACTTTGTTGTGCTTTTGACTTCATATTTACATGCATCGGAATCTTCACAAGTCTGCTGTGAGTGCCGCTATCCACATCAAATGATTGGCTACTGTAGATTAATGGACTGCCTTCTCTGGATGTGTTATTCTCTCCACAATTTCACAAAGATATTAGGCATAGTCAGAGCACAAGTGCAACGTCAAATTCCATCTCAAGGACTCGCATATGTTAGACTATTTACAACTCGATGGTTCACTGGCCACAGCACGAATTGCCCAATCCTATTTGATGTCGATCTTTCACACACTTCCTACACTACCCTGTCTCTTGCATATTTGGAAATGTAATCAACGCACTTTCTGCAATCTGTTACAGCAGTCCGTCTATGGGCCACGCCGAGCATCACTGGAGAACTTCTCGGATGTGGAGAGCGAGCAAGAGAAAGCCAACCACTACTCTGTACACACAGGGCAGATACAGAATGTCTTCGCCAAGATGGCTAGTCGCCGGACTGATCTGGCCTACGGACGCCCTGGGGCGGTGCAAGTGGTACAAACGCGGCCAAGTGCGCGGGATGCGTTCCCGTTGGCGCTGTCAGCGGACCAGCACTCGCCCGGACTCCTTCACGACCATAGGTCACCCACAGTCACCGTGGAGGGTGCAGATTCGAGTGGCAGTGGTACGGGTGGTAGTAGTAGTAGTGCATATACCAGGAACAGTCAGAGGAGGCGGGCGAGTGACGAGAGCACGGGGATGCTACGGAGAGCCAGTGACGAGGGCAAACGGTCCCTCTTGCAGGCCCAGGGCAACAGGATCATATCCACTTCGCACTCGAATGTGAGCCAGAATGCGAATACCAATGCGAATACCAATGGCAATGCGATAAGCTTTGCATCAAGGCCACAGCGGGCTAACAGCATAGGCGCGAGGTCGGTAGACGATTACGGGAAAAAAATAAGGTCGTCCCAGGCAAACGGCGCGCATGCACAACCGGGCGATGCATATAATAGAGAGCAAGCGCAAGGTGCTCCGGTGTTCAAGCGGTCGAGTATTGGCGGGGAAACCAAAGACAATCACCCCTCTTCCTCGTCAGTACGTCAAGCAGGATTTCATGGCAACGCCCATTCGAGTGCAACACAGCCACAGACAGAATCGGAACCAAACCTCCAACCGTCGAGGGAAGGTGCTGTAGCAACCATGGGCTTTGCGATGAGTGCGGCAATGGGTATGGGCATCGATGCCATCGCCTTGTTGGCTAAGAAGTCTATCCCGATCCCTAGCAAACTGGGCAGTCCGAGCAAACAGTTGCAGATTGGACCAGCCAACCCGCGGGGTTATACACACGGGTATCAGGATCCGCAGAACGGACCTTCTGTGAATGATATGCGTATGGACCCTACCCGGGTGCCCACGGCGCAGGAGGGCTCTCGCAGCGACAGTACCAACACGAGCAACAAGAGTCTGGGGGTGTCGCAATCTGTGGGCCTGACGAGTCTGACGGGTAAGTCGAGTGTGTACAGTCCCGAGGGTTCTGCCAGCAACAGCAACAGCTTGCAGCTCAATGAAGGCACTACGAGCCAGAACAACAGCGGCAGCGTGTTGTATGAGCGGGATGCTGGCAGCGGCAGGGAGGATGGCGGCGGAAGCCAGTCTAAGGCAAAGAAGATCATGACGGTGCTCAGGCATTCCAGCATGACCAGTGGGTTAGGGGTAAGCAGCAGCGACAAGAAGAAAGAGAAGGAGCGCGAAAGGGAACGGGGAGAGGAGGGAGAGATGGGGTTCAAAACTGATGCCCGAGCGAGTGTTTCGGTGGAGCAGCAACAGCCGATAGTAGCGGCAATGGGTGCTCAGGTGACGGGCAGAAGCGACAGTACGGTGGATGGGAGTGTTGATACATCTATAAACAGTCTATTCTCAGGAAATACGGGTGTGAAATTGGGTGCCAACGAGGACAGCAACAAATCTGGCAAGTACCACGGCAGCGAGCACCGCAAGAACCGCTGGAAAAACCGGGTCATGCGGTCCTTGGCTAAGCGCAAGAGCGGCGAGAAGGAGCAGCAGAAACGGAACATGGCACCTCGAGGGACTGTGTGGGGGCCCAGACCCGGGATTTTGCTGACAACACCTCCGCCCGGGCCTGAGTCAACTGAGAATGCACGTGCGGATCAGGCGGGAAACGTGAATATGGTACAACGGGAGGTCAGCAAGCCTGTAGGTAGGCAGCCAATTGTGAAGTTTGTGCGGAGGCGGTCGTCGCTAACGTGAGGTTATGTGCGATAGTAGAAAGAAAAAAGAAACAGGCGGGACGTATGAGTGAAAGCGGGTATGTATGCGAAATTGAGTTTCATGGAACGGATGAGTGAAAGAATGAAAGCGATTGGCATATGAGGGAACACGTACAACATGCCAGAGAACTTGAGTTTCATGACATGAGATTGAAATCACAATTTGGTATCCTGCCCCCGTTCATTACCGTGGTTGGTGAGCCCATGTCTATGGTGGTGTTATTTACTCCGCCGGATAGTGCATTTGAAAAACTCGCTGAAGACAGGCTAACCAGAGTTGATAGTATTCGACAAGGGACTAGTTTCATTTGTAGGGTCGCAACCAGGCGCAAGAGAACGTCACTGAAGACTGGCCAATCAGTTGTTAGTAAATGACGAGAGGCTGGTTTCATTGGTAGGATCGCAACCGGGCGCAAGAGAACGTTGCTGAAGACTGACCAATCAGACCAATCAGTTATTAGTAAATGACGGAGGCTGGTTTCATTGGTAGGATCGCAACCGGGCGCAAGAGACCGTCGCCGAAGACTGACCAATCAGTTATTAGTAAGTGACGAGAGGTTGGTTTCATTGGTAGAATCGCAACCGGGCGCAAGAGAACGTCGCTGAAGACTGGCCAATCAGAGTTGGTAGTACTTGACAAGAGGCTCTTTTCATTGGTAGGGCCACAATCGAGCGCAAACTTCTCGAGGAAGCGCTGTTGCCAACCAATTCAACCTGGATTACTATAGACTGATCGCGGCTACGGTTACGTTCACGGTCGCAATTTAAGTCCCAATGCCACTGCCGTAGTACTCGCTGGGCGTTTGCCAATGATCGGTCAAACTTACCGCAACTGCGCCAGAGTTTGTTAGCAGCGGGAATGCTTTCGATGAGGGAATCTCTGGCGCAGGGTACGTCCGTGTAGATATAGAGCCCGTGCAATAACCACCTATAGAGTTTATCCATGGCAGTGTCACTCTGTGTGTGCGACAGGGAAGTGCGCAACGAAAACCGATACTATCGTAGCTCTCGAATGAAGTAGAAGTGTGCGACACTGTCGACGATGATATGAAGCACCACCCAGGAACGCACATCGCGAAATGTACATGGTTATGTGTTTGTGTCAGGGTTCAGTTATTATGAAACGGAAAGTTGTTACCATTATTGGGAAATTAAAATTTTGCATGATAAGTGCGTTGGAATCCCAAACCACCAATAAGTTACATAAGTATGCATTAAAAACATCGGTTAAATACCAAATAATCAATAAATTACAAAGGTGAACATCTTATACATTGATTTAACTCGGAAGTCGTTGGAAATTTGTCCCACTTCCGCATGGCCTGATTGTATTCCTACCACAATGAAAACATCTCATCTGCAGCACAACCGCAGGGTATGTGCTGCCGATTCTGAACACTAAACTATCAGGGAAATCGAACGGATGGCAAGTTGTTTCGCCCAAGACAAAGATCACCAAAAAGGGCAGAATTCAGTCTTTAGATAATTTTTGGTTAGTTAAGTTTATATAACCAGCCCTTATTATGATTTTATATCAATGAAGTCTATATATTCAGTCTTTAGTTATGATTTTATTTTAGTCAAGTCTATATAATATTTTCTTTAACTGTGATTTTCAATATATAGTTAGTCTATATATTCAGCCTTCAGTTATGTTTTCATATTGTAAGTCTAAATAATACCGCAGGGTATGCGCTGCCAGTTCTGAACACGATTTAAAGTGTAGTTGGCAAAACATGCCAGAATAGTAAGCACTGCTCGTCCGCTGAAGCGACGAAAGCAAATGAAACTTACTAATCATACGGCATTTCTTTGGTATTCGGATTTTTAGGGTTTTTAGTTTTACCCTGAAACTGTCTAGTCTCTTGCCTACCTTCCCACTGTGTAGAACGACAAGCCGTAGTTGGATATAGTTTGTAATAGACTAGAATCAAACACTCGAGTCATCACTCAGTTGCACTACATGGAGACTCGGAACCAACATGAATATAGTTCTTTGCACAGCTGGCCTTACATCGAGCGTCCCGTAATATTCAGACATTCCATTTGCAAAGAATGGTCTGCTGGTGGAATCTATCCTTACTACTATTAGTTCATATGTTCTCATGGCGTCACCCACCACAGGACTTTGCCCTGGCATGGATATCCATGCTAGATTGTCCCCTTGCAATTATCTCCACTATCGATTACACTACATGCAACAAAGTATCCACAGCGTCGAAAAACTCGCTACTGCTCCTTCAAAAACAGGACATACGATGACGTTCGTTTTGTTAATGATTTCTCTGTCTGGCCCATTTTCAGTGCCGGCGGATATCGCTTCTGTCGTAGGAACAAGCGTGAAAGCACGGGAACAGAAAACAATGAGGAAAGTGCTAGAGATGCGCAGTCATTGTACCTCGACAAAGTAATGTAATTCAAAATATAAACCTTTTATCTTGCATGTGAACAGTATGTTATCCTGAAAACACCTGTTTTATTACAACACACATACCTACAGCAACTAAACCCAAAAATAGCAACATAAGAGCCAGTTCAGGCACCACTTACTTGTATACTTGCGATGTACGATGAAGGTAGGTGATCTTTGACGAACGAGAAAGTACCCAAAGTGCCAATTTGCATCAGATTGACAGGGTCTAGCAGTCCATCGGAGGGCCATGTATCGCTGTTGACGAGTTTTCTCAGCGCCGATTTGAATGTCTGTGGAGATTGATTTTGAACATTGTAAATATCTCGTGTCGGTGTACACATGACGACCGCAACAATGTATCAAGATTAAACATTAAACTGATCGCAATGTCAGACGAATACATAAGGCAAGAATATGGCACAAGCCACGTTGGACAGGTTGGAAATTGAGTTTATACAATACCTGTTGTATTGTTGTCGCGCAACGGGGAGAGTCAGCCGACACGCACAGTGAAGGACACATCAATATATATA